TATAAATGTTTTATCTGGGGGCTTAGTGTATTTTCTTAAAGAATTATGAACGAATGAAAGTGATTGCAAATGTGAGACTGAACTTGATCATTTAATACATTTATGGCAACCACTATGTATAACTGAGGCTAACCAGGACTTAAAATTATAACAAGCAAAGGAATTTCATTCTAAACGAATTTACAACTATCATTAAATTTTTCTAAGAGCTCAGTGAGAATACTACTAATAATTACATATTCCTAATAATAAAAATAATGTAATAATAATCAAGTTCATCCCCTTTCATTTTGAGTCCATATGATAGCCGAGTAGCGATTTATTTTAACCTCATTATACTTAAAAAAGAAAAGAAAATCAATCAAAAATGACTGTTTAAATGTGTAATATGCAGTGTCATTAATAGTTTAATGTCTTCCATTGTTTGTAACAACGAATAAAAATAGTCTGGAGTTGTAATCCAAAAGCAAATTAAGAGGTAACCTTTCCGTAATCAAAATTTTGTTTTTCAATTTGCTACCTAAGAATTTATTGATTTGCGACAACATGAGAAATAGTAATATAGTTCTGACAATTAGTAAAAATTGACGAAAATTTTTGCTGTTATCAAAAGCGGAAATACTTCATATTTCTCCTCTACCTCCTATCTATTAGGACTGTAAGCCTTTATATACCAAGACGGAAAAGAGCAGAAACTATTACGAAAGGAATTTTATTCTTGCATTTCTTTCAAAAAACTTTACATTTCTGTAACTACCGAGATATTTTTACAATTGTAGCATTTATATTAACCTGTTTCTTTCATGAGAAAAAGTTGAAACTACGTAATATAAAGTTTAAGAAAGAGTATAGAATTACTCTTACCAAAAACAAGGTAAAATTGAAATTGTCTTACTACCAGCTTTTTCTCGTTTCTGTCTCGCTTTTACCCATGCTATCTAAACATTTACAGATGGAAACAAAGCAGCTTGCAACACTACGCATTTCATGATTAACGTTTTATGAGAGTGAATGAGTATCGCAGATTAGCCATCATACGGAAATATTTGTATGAATTATTAAGTTCAATCGATGGCAGTGGTTTCTAAACTTGATATTTCTACGCCTCCCTTTAAAATATTTAATCATTTGGCTCCCCCCCCCCTGAAGATTTCATAAAATAAAAACACAAACATTTTTACTCTTATGAAATTTATTCATACAAACTAATGGAAAACGACATTTTATTATTATTTTTAATGAGATGGATGTGCTTGTCTATTAGCACAATGTTTATCAAATCTTGGTGTCTGTGACGATATAGCTACTCGTAGCTCTTTTTCCACAACTAAACGAGCTCGATATTTGGATTTCATTGCAGCCAAGGCAGAAAATCCCGTTTCGCATAAATATAATGTTGCAAACTGCAACAGTACTTTCAAAGCTTTGTTTGACAAGGTGTTTTATTCTGTATGAAGATTCAACCAGAATTGAACCAGAGATACAGTCTAAAATTTATGTTTTAATGTAGTATCACAAGATAATTCAATCAATTTTTCTTTTTCAATACTTGTCAATCCAAATTCATCATCTTCTTTGTCGATAAATGGATTCTGTATCCACGCAAACTTTGTAAAATCAAGAATGCTAAAATAATTTGAAAATTGAAGCAACAAACCATTCAAGCGTTCCACAAAGAAATTTTTGTTTGCTTCTATGTTATCTCGGGAGCATAAATTTAAACGTGGAAACATGTCAATCTTATTTTTTTGCAAATTTGATTTCCATAGCTCCACTTTTTTATTAAATGCTTTCACTTTGTCTTTTTGTATAAGCAAATGCATTTGCGATCCTTACATTGATTTATTAAGAACACTAAATTTTTCCAAAATGACAAACAAATATGTAAGTTTAACGATAAAATTATCATCCCTAAACATATTGCCGTCTTCATTATGATTTTCCTCGAGAAACATAGCAATTCCTTCTTTTAGTTCAAGTACCCTTTGAATCACTTTTGCACGAGATAGCCAGCGCACTTCACAATAGTACAGAAGTGACGTGTAATTAGCTCGCATATCTTCACACAGTTTTGCGAACAACCTTGCTTTTAATAGACTGTTTTTTATGTAATAACTTTCCTTACTTTTGCAAAAACATTGTTAAGTTCCTCGCTTATAGTTTTCGATACGAGAGCTGCTCTGTAAAGCATGCAGTGCGTCCAGAGAACCTCAGGTGTTTTCATTTTAACTAGTGTTTGAAGACCAGTTTTGTGTCAGTACAGAACCCAATGCAATTATTCCACATAATGGCGTTCTCATTAAAAAATCTATTATTTTCAAAATTTCATTGGATGTGGCTCTGTCAGGAATTAGTTTGCAAAATAAGATATCTTCAATTATATTAGTATCGTCAACATATCGAACATATGCAATTGAATGTGCGTCTTTAGCTACATCATTAGCTTCCTCTACTTGTATGGCGAATTTTGAAGTACGCATTCGAGAAACTAATTGGTCACAAAGATCTTCAGATATATCATCAATTCTTCTGCCAATTGTATTATCAGCAAGCGGTATTTGTCGCAGCTGATTTGCATAAGATTGGCCAAATATTGTTTTGACCATATCAATAGCTGCTGGCAAAACTAAGGTTTCTGCTATTGTGTGGGGTTTTTTACACTGCGCGATTCTGTACGACACTAGATATGATGCTAGTATTGCATTTGATGGAATATGAACAATTTTTTTTAAATTTTGCTTGTTTTTTAATGGCTCTTCCAATTTTCTTTGAAAAAATTCTTGGGGCTTGCCAACGTATTCAGAATGAATAGTTTCAAGGTGCCGTTTCAATTTGCCGGGTCTCATACTATCAGCGGCCAAAAATTTTGAACACAACAAACACATTGGTTTTTCCACATTATCGTTAATAATATTAGTAAATCCGAACGATAAATAGGATAAGTCGTATTTCCTTGTCTTGGGAGTTCTTCCTTCCTCTTCCTTGTGGCTGGTATTCCCACTACTTGTGCCAGCATCAGAATCTTCATTATTAGTGGATTTTCGCTTATATCCTATCAAAAACTTATCCATTTGTCTGGAAATATTAGGAATAATATTATATTATTCTAAAAAAATGAAACAATTAAATTACTTATTATTATGATCAGTGAGCAATCTCGTCAATAACAATAGAAACACAACCTAACACTGCTGAACCAATTAAATATTAGCTGTGACACGAAACAAATTGGTGAGCTAAACGTGCGTCGATCTTCTCTGGATGTGTGGCATCAAGTGGCGTTAGTGCGCGCGCATCTGGCTTTTGTTAAGTTGTGTCGGTCGAGTGGCGCTAGTGTCGCCAAATTAACGACGGCCTTGGTTCAAAAGATTTTCCGGGGTCTAGGACGTATAGGTATATGCATGCTAAGTTACGAAATGTTTAGTTGAACTATGCGCGATAAAGCACGATGGTATTTTTTCATTTATTCCTTCATTTTTTACATAGAAAACTTTAGCAGTAATTTGGAAAATTGTTCACTGTGACTAATTTTCGCGGCTCCCTTTAGACAAGTCCGCGCCTCCCAGTTTGGAAAAAGCTGATCTATAGAATAGAGCTATGTTGCCTCAGGGGATAGAGCATTCGCCTTCCAGTAAGGTGAACCCGGTTCAAATCGCAGCCACGGCAGGTCGAAACGAATTTCGCCCCCGGCTCGCACCGATCACAGTGCTGATGTAAAGAGCTGACGTGAAATATCCTCAGTGGTAAACGGATCATGAGTTAGAGTCCCCTTGCCATCAGTCTAACCTAGGGAGGTTATCGTGGGTTTCCTCTCCATGTAACGCAAATGTGGGTGAGTTTCATCAAAAAGTCCTCCATGAAGGCAAAATTTCTCCCAAAACTTGATCCAGGAGTTTCCTTGTCTTCTAGATTGGGTTCAAAATTACAAGGCAACAGAGTTGAACATTATTAGTCTTAAATCCAAACTGCTGTTTAACGGCGGTTATAAAATTAAATAAAAGGGAAGGTAGCCGTGGTGGTATAGGGAATAGAGTACTAGGCACTATTTCGCATCACACTGAAGGGAATCAGGTGCGAATCACAGCAGTGGCTGGTTGGTACGAATTCTGCTTCCGGTTCGCACTAATCACAGTGTTGATGTAAAACATCCTGAGTGATTGAGGTTAGAATCTCTTTGATGTCGGGCTTACTGCAGGTGGTACGAGCGGATTGCCTCTACATCGCAAATGCAATTTATTTTTCTCAAAAAGTCATTTGCGAAGTCAAGTTTATCCCAATGCTTGATCCAGGAGTTCCCTTCTCCTCTGGGTTGGGTTCAAAATTACAAGGTTATGGAGTTGAACATTAGTAATCGCAAGCACGGAATAGGATAAAATCATTTGTGTCCTGCTCCCTTTTAGAAGGACGGTTATTTCTTTCAAATAAAGAAAAAAAATTGTACCACTACTGTTTTCAGGTATGCCAACTGCTCAGCTCTCTGGAAAAGTTATAATAAAGTGGTACTGGTTGCGAATTAAAAAGTATAACTTGCAAAATAAGCATAGTTACGCCTACTTTAAAAAGCAGTAACCAAATAATTAATGCTTTTAGGTTGCATGTTACATGATTCTTATATATTTTGATATTTAGTGATGAAAAAATTAATTGAAATTTAAAATATTAAACGAAGAATAACTCAAATTTCGTTACCGCTAGAAAATACTATTTTGCAAATCGGAGCAAGTTGGCATTTCTGTGTTTTGTTTTTAGGAATTATTTTTCAGAAATATGCTTACATTATATATTGTGAATATAAACATTTATAGTTATATCAGTATTCATAGCAACGTGATTTTTAATAAAACGCTCAACGCGACGTCTTTGTAATAACATTACATATTTTAGCAAATTAGAATGACAGATAACAAAATACAGATATTGACAGCACGAGGATGCAGCCAGGGTAACAGCGGGATTTGAACCCGCTACCTCCATGTTATACACAACGTTTGGTGAGCAGTACCGCTCGGACCAAGGAGGCCCCGGCGTAATTGTAACAATGTGCCGAATCAAATAAGCCTTCGAACTACTTAGACGAAGTGATCTGTTAAATTCCTATAAATTGAATTTACTAAGCCGAGAATCATACATTAAAAGATTACCACTTTAAAATATTTATCTACTCTCTGGAGCAAGTTGACATTTCTGAAGGGGTCATGAATTCAATCTCCACAGGCCGAAGAGTCCCCGTGTACAAAACGGTGACTGGTGCACTCTAAATCTGTCGGGGTCAGAAAGACCTACGAGTTCCAAAAGCGGATCAGTACCTACAGGGGTAATTGATCGGATAATGGCCGTGATCTGATTCAAGTCAAAGTTATGATCTGCAATGGATGATGATGTGTGAATGTGTCGTTCCTGTAAAACGAGCTGTGACGTATGAGAGGGACAAAAGTCGAATTTGGGCCAAAGATGGCACCACAGGAATACCAGATGAGCACCCATTCTGCCATAAAATAGTCTTGTCAGTACTGAAAAGTGGCATAAAGCAACAACAACATGCGTTCGCCTTCTAATGAGGTGAGCTGGGTTCGAATTCCTCGAAGACAATTCGTTACTAATTCCGCATTTGGCTTGTCTCGACCACAGTGCTGACGTAAAATATCCTAAATGGTAGACGGATCATGGGTTAGTGCGACGCCTCCCATAACTGAAAGCCTCCACACGGTTTTTTGTAGGTAGTCCGATCAGACCACTGTGAAGGATATCCACTTTCCGAACGAGTCACTTGATACAAAATCTAGTTTAAGTAAGAAAGTGGTAGAAAATATATGACTAAAAATTTGTTTTATTTATGAATATTATTGGTTTGCCTTATTCACTTGTCAACCACTGCAGATTCAATTCTCAAATATATATGATGAATTTCTCTCAATTACTTTTATATAAGGTTTTGGGTTCATGCGCACAACTGGTTCACTTTTTAAACAGTCTGCGCAGACTACTTATAAAAGATCGTGCGGAGGCTTTTTGATGTAGGAGGTGATGGTTAGAGTCCCATTTTCCTTCGACAAACCACGGGAGGATTTCGTGGATTTCCTATCCATGCAACTTAGAAATCTGGATTAGTTCCCTCGGAAAACCTCCGTGAAGTCTAATTTCTCCAAATAATTGATCCAAGAAATCCCTTTAAAATTACAAGTCTACGGAGTTAAACATTAGTAGACGCAAATCAAAGCAATTTAGGACAAAAATGCAATAGTCAATTCATATGTCTCCTATTTTCTTTCGCTTTCCTCAAAAGAAGTCATGTTTCACGCAACTTCAAGGTAAACTAACGCATTGAAAGGTAAAAACCTCCTACGAGGCCTAAGGGCCTCTAACAGCGAAATGTGTATGAAACCACTAACTTTTAAAAAATACAGAGTTCAACCTATATCTGCTTACATGGAATTCATTGTCCATAGTCGCAGTATCTAATAATTTGCCTGTGTGTAGTTTTAGGTCAAACTTTACTGCTCTAGGAATGGACAAGCTAGAGCATTATAACTGATTAAAAATAGTTATTTTTCAGCCACTTTCTTGTAAAAGAACTTGTTGCACAATTGAAAACGGAGTTGTAGGCTCGAAGGTTCACTTAATACTAGCAGAATTAGCTCCATTTTCCTGTTTCGATGATTGCTGAGCATTTTAGACCACAACACACCGTAAAAGGGCTTCATAAAAAATTGAAGTCCACTCTTTTATGAGTAGTAGCAACATCTGATTTAAACACTCTTTGATTAGGAAACAACTGGTAATTGACAAAAAATATTCATTTTATTTTTTTATTTGCGAGATTTTTTAAAAAATTCTTTCTCAAGAAATAGCGAAATACTTTCGATTCTGCTTCTATTTGCGTGATGGAAAAGCAATTTGGAGAATGTCTGAAAAAAATTTAAATAATGGTAACAAATATTTTATCATGTTACCGAAAATTTTAATAATATAATAGCATAAGTAAACACAGACATTTATTTCAGGAGTATTTTTTGCCAATAGTAATAAGTTAAAACATTCTATTTTTTCGACTTCTTTTTGCAAGTTTTTATAGAATGGAGTTACCCTAAGAAGAAATAACTTCTAACAGAATAATCTTCTAACAAAGAAAATCTACTTAAATGCATGCTATTTCAAAGGGAAAATTATTCTTTAATAATCTATTTAACATTTTATTTTTACAAGAAGATAGTTCTGAAGACAATACACTTTTATCAACGTTAACACTAATATACGTATCTAAAATAGAAGTTTGTCCGTCAATGGATAATGACGGACAAGCTTCGGAGTTAATTAATTGTCATAAACATTTTCGACTACAATTAAATTGAATAAGTTACACTAACAACAATAACTCCGTTTATTTAATCTCGGTTACATTGTTGCACATTAGATCCCAACGCACCATAAAAACTAGATAATGTAGAAATTGTAATGTCGAACCTGTAATAAACTGTATAGCTACTCATGATTTAAACACTCTTTCATCAGAAGACAACTGGTAATCGATTATTGAAAAAAAAATGTTTGTTTTTTTTTAACTTTCTCCATAATTTTTCAGGTATTAATGAAATTCTTTCGATTCTGCTTCTATTTGGGTGATGGAAAAGCGATTTGGAGAATGTCCGGAAAAAATTTAAATAATAATAACAAATATTTTATCATGTTACCGAAAATTGTAATAATATAATAGCATAAGTAAACACAGACATTTAATTCATTAATATTTTTTGCCAACAGTTTAAAGTTAAAACTATCTACTTTTTGGACTTATTTTTTACAAGTTTTTAAATTTTTCTAGAATGGAGTTACCCTGAAAAGAAATATCTTCTAACAAAGAAAATCTATTTAAATACATGTTATTTCAAGGGGAAAATTATTCTTTAATAATGTATTTACTATTTTATTTTCAATTTTACAAGAAGATAGTTCTGAAGACAGTACACTTTTATTAACGTTAATACTAATATATGTACCTAAAACCAAAGAATATACTTTTGAAGTGGAAGTTCATCCAAACAAATATCTATTTATTAACGAGTGTGTCCTATAG